TTTTTGATGTAAAATGCCCGATCTTAATGGAAATAGTTTTTCCTTTTCACCGAGCCCATTCTGTATTATCGTTGTATTTTTATTTCATCAACATATGTGTCGAACTTTTGTTAATTAATATCTTGACGATTGAGAAGAACTAATTATCTCGACGACAAAGACGATTAATTATCTCGACGACTAAGAAGATTAATTATCACGACGACAGTAATATCCCGACAACTAATTAATAATCTCGACGATTGAGAAGAAATAATTCGATTTTAGGCAAGTCATAATGCCGAGGACAATAGCGAATAGTTTAACACCTTGACGGTAAAACTATCCCGACGTTGGTATCGAATTACCTCGAAGACTAATTGCGATGGGTGGTAACCTTGAGGTGTTCGAAGAATTGTGACCTACCTCTGTACATAAGTTTATCCCGAGCTTTCACTTTGGAGCCTTGGACAAAAATCCAAGGATACATGGTCGGGGATGTATGTCCTCGGGATTTTTACTTGTGCTGCACTATTTTGATGTGCTGATTATAAGCTCCAAGATTTTGGTGCCTGCGCGAGGCAAGGCTTTGGTGCTTGCTCGGGGCGAGGTTTACATGCTTGCTCGGGCAAGGCTTTAGACGGCTTGCTCGAGGGCAAGGCTTACATTGGCTTGTCGAGGACAAGGCTTTGGGCGGCTTGCTCGAGGGCAAGGGTTACATTGGCTTGTCGAGGATAAGGCTTAGGGCGGCTTGCTCGAGGGCAATGCTTACATTGGCTTGTCGAGGACAAGGTTTAGGTAATCCTTGGACGCAAAGCAAACTATCGAGCTGTTATACCCGAGGTTTGGATTTATTAATTACTCGAACTGGACTCAGATTTATATTGTATCTAAGCTGCCTACGTACCCAAACGGGATCAAGCCGAACGTAGTTCATTACAAAAAAAAAATGGAAAACATGCATGGGCACTCAGGCCCGCTAAATTAGAAATAAAATGCAAGGGCACGCAAGCCCGAAGAACCAAAAATAACATTCAGAAGAAAAAATGCAAGAAAAGAAAATCTCCTAAATGGCGTCGGGAATGTTACTTGTAATATATTTTTAGATTGTCGGCATTCCAGGGCCTTGGAAGAGGTCTACCTGAAGTGTCTCTTAAGTTGTATGCTCCTTTGCGAACCTGTCGTATGACCTCAAAGGGTCCTTCCCAGATGGGCCCGAGCTTCCCTAGGGGGTGACCTGCTGCTTCGGCCATCCTCAAGACCAAATCACCAGCTCTGAACCTCCGAGCCTTGACTTTGCTATTAAAATGTTTTGCTGTCTTAGTTTGGTAAAAGGCCACATTTATAGCGGCTTGCTCCCGTACTTCTTCCAAGAGATCAAGGTGTTCAGTTGTATGCTCCGAGGTTTCTGGCACGAGCCTCCTATGGCTTGGCAGTCTAATTTCCACTGGGACCATTGCTTCAATGCCATAGGGTAGCATAAAAGGGGTTTCTCCTGTGGTTGCCCTATGAGTTGTTCTATTCGTCCATAGTATAGAAGGCAGCTCGTCGGACCAAGAATCCCTAGCATTGTTTATTCTTGTTCGGAAGTCTTGTAATATGATTCGATTTGTTACCTCGGCCAGACCATTGCTCTAAGGATGCGAAACTGATGTCAGACGGTGATCAATCCCAAGGTTTGAGCAAAAGTCCTTAAACCGTTGATTGTCAAATTGCTTGCCATTGTCGGTGATGAGGACCTTTGGTATCCCAAACCTGTAAATGATAGACCTCCAAGTGAAGGCTCTTAGCTTGGGCTCCGATATTGTGGCGAGAGGTTCGGCCTCTGCCTATTTTGTGAAGTACTCTACTGCTACAGCAACAAACTTTAATTGACCTCTTGCCACAGGAAAGGGGCCGTGGATATCAACTCCCTATTGTTCAAACGGGGCCGAACAGTTAATGTTGGTGAGGTCTTCGGCTGGTGAGTGGATAACATTACCAAACCTCTGGCACCTATCACATCTTTTAACATATTCTGAGGCGTCTTTCTTCATAGTTGGCCAATAGTATCCATATTGTACGAGTTTAAAGGCCAAGGCCCTGGCTGCTTGATAATTCCCGCACACACCTTCATGAACTTCAGCAAGGGCCTGGGATGACTCTGATGGTCTAAGGCACCTTAGGTATGGAAGAGCAATACTTCTGCGAAAGAGGACACCGCTGATCATGCAGTACCTAGGAGCTCGAGCTCTGATGCTTCTTACCAACCTAGCATCGCTTGGTAGATTTCCACTTGTGATGAATTCTATGATTGGGTCCATCCAGGATGGTTCGTTGTCAATGTCCATGATGTCGAGGATTTGATTGATACTGGGTTCTGTGATGATTTTAATGTGAATTGTTCTGTCAAGGCTGTCTACCCCCATGAACACAAGCCTGGATAATGCGTCGACTTTTTCGTTGTCCTTTTGAGCAATTTTTGCAATTTCACAACTCTTGAATTTTCGTTGAAGATCCTGAACCTTCATACAGTACAAACTCATTTTCTCGTCTTTTCTTTCAAATGATCCTTCAATCTGTCCGACCACCAGTTGTGAATCGCTGAATATCTTCACAAACTCCAGAGCAATAACGACGGCCTCATACTCGGCCTCGTTATTGGTTGCTTCAAACTCGAACCTAAGAGCGCATTGGATCTCTATTTGTTTGTCAGGGCTGATGATGATGACCCCTACACCCGAGCCCGAGGAGTTCGATGCTCCATCCACAAAAATTTTCCAAGTGTCCAAATTGGTGCTCATGCTCGAGCTGTCACCTGGCCCCCGAGGAGTTCGATGCTCCATCCACAAAAATTTTCCAAGTGTCCAAATTGGTGCTCATGCTCGAGCTGTCACCTGGCCCCCGAGGCCTAGGGGTTAGTTCTGCAATGAAGTCGGCTAGTGCTTGGGCTTTGATAGATGGGCGTGGTTTGAATTCGATGTCAAATTCTCCAAGCTCGATCGCCCATTTCGTCAGTTTTCCCGATACGTCCGGCTTCTAAAGTATATGCCTAAGTGGTTGATTAGTGAGTACCACAATAGGGTGAGACTGAAAATACTGCTGGAGTTTCCGTGCTGCTATTACCAAGGTAAGGGCAAGTTGTTCCGCCAAAGTATACCTTGTTTCCGCATCTAGTAGGACCTTGCTTACATAGTAGATAGGTTGTTGAACTTTGTTAACCTCTTTCACCAAGACCCCGCTGACCGCGTTTTGAGATACGGCTAGGTACAAAAATAAGGTGTCACCAGGCTCAGGCCTAGTGAGAATAGGAGGAGATGTTAATGTTTGCTTGAGCTCCTGAAAAGCTTTCTCACAGTCTTCACTCCAATCAAAGCCTTGGTTTCCTCTGAGGACTTTGAAGAAGGGAAAGCACCTGTCTGATACTCGGGACATGAACCTGTTCAAGGCTGCTATCCTACCAGTCAACCTCTGTACCTCTTTCTTGTTCCTTGGTGATTCTATAGACGCCAAGGCTTGTATTTTGTTAGGGTTAGCCTCTATCCCCCGATGAGTGATCATAAAGCCCAAGAACTTGCCCGAGGCCACGCCAAATGCACATTTTGCGGGGTTTAACTTCATTTCGTACTTTCGCAAGGTGTCGAAAACCTCTTCAAGATCTGAAATATGCTGGTCCACCTGTTTGCTCTTGACTACCATGTCATCAACGTAGGCCTCCACATTCCTTCCAATCAAGTTAGCAAAGACTTTGTTGATGAGCCTTTGGTATGTTGCCCCTGCATTCTTCAAACCAAAAGGCATGACCTTATAACAGTATATGGCGGAATCGGCCATGAATGACGTCTTTTCTTGATCTTCCTCGGTCATGAGGATTTGATGATAACCAGAAAATGCATCCAAGAAGCTGTATAGCTTATGTCCAGACGTGCTATCCTCCAAGTTGTCAATCCGCAGTAAGGGATAACTATCCTTTGGACATGCATTGTTAAGATCTGTGAAGTTAATGCAGACCCTCCACTTACCATTGGCCTTCTTTACTAAAGCAACATTGGCAAGCCAATCAGGATATTGTACCTCCCGAATGAATTGAGCACTGGCGAGTTTGTTAATTTCTTCGCGAATGACCTTCCGACGTTCTGGGGCAAACTGTCTTTCCTTTGTTTTACTGGTCTGGCCCCTGGGCTAATGTTAAGCCTGTGGATGGCAATTTTAGGGTCTATCCCTGACATATCCTCAACCTTCCAGACAAAAACGTCAATGTTGCGAAATAAGCAACCAACAAGTTCTGTCTTCAGGGTGACGTCAAGATCCCGACCAATCGTCACCTTCTTATCATGCTCGAGCTCAATTTCCATCAATTTTTCTATAGGAGCAAGTCTAACTTGTTGCCCGGCCTCGAGCTCCATCATCGAGATTTGCATGACGTCGTTATTTATTTTCCCAACGCTGGCAACATAGCATTGTCTGACAGCTGTCTGGTCTCCATGCACGACCCCAACGCCATTACTTGTTGAAAACTTCATGGCTAGGTGGAAGGTAGACACAATGGCTTTGATCTTGTTTAGGAGTGGTCTTCCCAGAATGGCGTTATAGGCCATTGAGACACGTACCACTTGAAAAGATGTCATCTTCGTAACCTGTTTCTGGCCAAAACCCAAAGTTAGAGGAAGCTCGACGACACCCTCTGGAGTGATAACACCTCCCCCGAACCCCTGGAGAGGAGTTTTAACCGCTTTAAGCTGTTGAGATAAGATTCCCATTTTGGCAAAAGCTTCTTGTGAAAGTATATTGGCCGCACTCCCGTTGTCAACCAAGATTCTCTTTACTTCAAAATTGGCCATAATCGCTGAGATTACCAAGGCGTCATCATGTGGAAGTGATACACCTTTTAAGTCCCCGGTTCCAAAAGTAATATCCTCCAACTTTCCATGAGGCATCCCAGAGGCCAAGGCATATTGTCGGGCATATTGTTTTCTTCCACTGTTGGAGTCTCCTCTCGAGGCAATACCCCCAATGATGATATTGATGGTTCCAGTAGTGGGTTAACCATTCCTTTTTGCCTCAGGGGCTTTTTCCCTACCACGATCGTTCCTCGGGCATTTGTCGTTACCGACGTAGGAACTCAGGAGTCCTCTTTTAATAAGAGCTTCAATCTCCAGTTGCAGGGACTTACAGTTTTTTTTGGTATGCCCGTGATCTCGATGGAACTCACAGTACTTGTTCATGTCTCTGGATTCGGGTGGTGACCTCATTCTGACAGGTCATTTGAGTTTCTTCATATCCTTGATCTCCATCAATATATTTGTCTGTGACGTATTTAAACGCATGAATGACGTTGGGGGAACCTCCTGTCTCTATTTTTTCCGATGTTGTTCTTCATGGGGTTCGGGTCGTGCTGTCGTTTATGCTCGACCCTGTCATGGGGTGGTCCAACCTTTCTCGGGTTCAGTGTTTCCTCCATATTTATGTACTTCTTGGCTCGGGTAAGAAGCTCGGTCACTGTCTTTAGCAGAGTTTTGGATAAAGACATCTTGAAAGCCTCACGCTTTATGGCATATGTGAGGGCAGAAACTGCTGCAGTTATATGTAAGTCGGGAATCTGAAGTCTTTCCTTGTCGAACCTGGTCATGAAGTCACGTAGGGTCTCATTTTGCCCTTGTCTAAGTTGCATGAGGGAAGCCGCTATCTTCCTGATGCGTTTACTGTTTGCGAAGAAAGCAGAGAACTTGTCCGCCAAATCCAAGAATGAGGCTATGGAGTTGGACTCTAAGGTTGAGAACCAATCCCTAGCAGCATTCGTCAAAGTTTGCGGGAAGGCCTTGCACATCACCTGATCTGGTGCGACCTGTAGATTCATGACGTCCGTGTATACGTTAAGATGATTGATAGGATCGGTGGTCCCATCATATTCTTTGATCCTAGGATACTTAAATCTGTCTGGTAAGGGAAATGTCAATATCTCGGGAATAAAGGGAGTGTTGGGACTGAATCCTGTCATTCCTTTGTTGCCCTGAAGTAGGCCCGCCGTAATTCCTTCTTGAATAATCCTAGCGAGTTCCTTGGACTCCATGGTTACTGATCTCGAGGCCGAGGTCACATGTGGTATACCCGAGGCCCCTGCTCCGCCATTGTCAGGGACGTGTCTTTGAGCTCGAACTTGAGTATCAGCCATAAAACCCCCCTGGGGTGCTGGTGTGGGTGACGGATGCGAATTTCTTTGACTTAACAGCTGACTCAGTGTGGCGACCTATTGTCTGAGTTCCTCAAAGGCTCCAGCAGTGATGACTGTCGGCTGGGGCTCTGGCACTTCTGATGATTCCTCTTGAGGAACAGGGATATCCTCAAGAGGGGGTTGGTTTGGAGCGGAGGAGCTTGCTGGTGGAAGACCTGAACGTGTGTTTACCATGGCTTTTGGTAGCGTTTCCCACAGACGGCGCAAATGATGCTACCAAAAATCGTACCTGTAGATTTTCCGAGCTTGATGACTGATGATGAGCACGAACGTGATCTTTCGGTACCTGAAACAAAGGCAACGAGGTGTGTTCTCGTCGCCCCTCCGATGCTTAAGTCAGAAAGGGAATTTTATGCTTGAGGCTATGTGCTGGAGAACAATGAAAAACGTACCTGAATAATGATTAAGGGCTTCGTATTTATAGAGGTAGGTGGTGTGTTCATACTAGGATTCCGTAGTGCACCTGTAATAGGACAGCTTGATTTTGCAATCTTATACCAATGAGTCCTACGCAAGATAGGAGTTTGAATTGCGGTATAACTGTGATACCAATTATTTAATAGAGTTCTTCTGGTCATAGGAGACATAGGTTGAGGATTTTTAGTCAGAATGAATTTCCCATTGGATAAGGCGTTGACGTAGGTCATAATCCCGAGGACATGTCGAATGATTTTCAAATAACTCTTGGGGCTAATAGCTCGGGTATGTGGCAGATACCCGAGCACATATATCCCGAGCATGTTGATAAACATATACGTCGGGAGCAAATATTTGGTTATATCATGGACAGAATGTGAGGAGAAGTCTTCAAAATTCACATTCCAACATTAAGGAGAAATATTTTGGACACTTGAATCTAGTCACAAACAAAGATTTTAGAGACATATTCCTTGGTATGACAAATGAAGATGATTATGATGTGGTGAAGATTGAGATTCTTTATTTGATAACATCTTTCCTTTTTTCAACCTCGTCCAAGAAGGTCGTTGAGAATTATTTATTTGCTCTTGTTAAAGACTTTGATACTATGGAGATGTTTTCATAGGCAAAAGATTTGTTTGAACTTTCCATAACCTTACTGAAAGATGGATTGAGGAATAAAAATCCTTATAGATTTAAAGGATTTTTAGTTGCATTTCAAGTTTGGATTTATGAGTCTATTTTTGAGCTTGATGGGATTGTCATTTCGAGGATGGGAAGGAGTTACCCTCGTATCTTGAACTGGAGATCAGATAAACTGCCATCTGGTGCAAAACTCAAAGAGGAGGTGTTCTCGCACCGAATGTAAGTCTTCACTTAATTGTCTGTTACCTAATTTGGTCACAAGTCTCACATCTCACTATAGACGGTCACAGGTGTCAATCCTCATTCTGTGATCTGTAAATTGTTAGGTGTTTGTGTCAAAGGACATGATTTGTAATGGATCTCTCTCTCTCTCTATTAATGTGTGTGCGTGTGTCTTTGATATTTGAAAGATGAATCTATATATCTTAAATATGAAATGTACTATATTTATTGTCTGGGTTGTAGAATTAATCTATTTGTACTGGGGGGGGGGGTTTATCGAAGCGTTTACCCCCCTCTCACAAACACGCGGGCCCCGCAAGCCGTAGTCCCCACTTTGATGATGTGAGTAGGGTGTAAACGATTAGGTAAATCATTACGTACGTGTAGCACGTTCCGGGTTGTGAAATTTTCCTTTGGCAGATTATGATTTGGCCAAGTGAAGTTTATCAAACACTTTCTGTTCCTAGATTACTACGAGCCTTGGAAAATGGGAAAGGACAATTGAGGAAACAAAGTTAAAAGAAAAATATTCCTTTCTACAAAATACATGATTGAAAATTATACAAAATTAAATGCTATTATGTAATACATGTAATTTTCATGTTTGTTAAAATCGTGATACTAAGGCCTCTAAAAATAAAAGGAATAATAAGAAATTATATCTTATTTCTATTAAATTTAAAATCATTTATATTAACCATTATCTGTTACTCAGATTGAGTCTATTAACAAAATAAAATAACTAAGAGGTCTTAAGTGGATCACAAGACATTCAAAGATATGCAAATTGAGAAACAACTGAAACAAGCTAGATAGCTCACATTTACACTGGTTCGCCATATGACTTGACTTTAATACAAAATTCTTTGATGAGTGGTCATGGGATTACACATAGGGAATCTGATTAAAATGAATCCTTAATTCGTCCACTACTAACTCTATTATGGATCTTGGTTATACTGGCATCAATTAGAAGCAACAAAATGAACTATAGAGTATTCAAGTCGTATAATAAGAAATAATGAATTGTAGCTCTCAAACTAGCTCAAAAAATCCCTAGAAAGATCCTGAAATTTATCCTTGGCATTTCTGCTGCGTTCATTATGCCAACTTCTTGACGACATTTTTACAACCCTTCTGGTTGTCAAATATGTAGAAGTTGCATTGGTCAAAGAAGAAGAATAAGAAAAGGACTACGATTGCATTAAGTATTTGGGATTTTCATGTCAAAGAACTCAGATAATAGAAGAACAAGAGAAGTCATTGATATAGCTAAAGCCTCCAATGAACTGCTACAAAATTGTTGGACTACGGAAACGGAATTATTCAAAAAGTAAAAAAATTTCTTTAATTCAATAAACGAGATAGTCTATATGTTCACGTATATGTTATATCAAGAATAAAGTATTCGAATCTTTACATAAATTCAATGGTCAATTCTTGAATAAATTCTGAGATACAAACTTCTCGCTTTTAATTGAAAGAACTTGATCTTTCAAACCTCTAAGACTATGGTATTTTTCAAAGTCAAGATTACACCGGTGGGTGAGTACCTTTTTTTTAATTAAATCATTAAACTAATTTTTGACCCGGACAATTGATAAAAGATTTTTGACCTGGACAATTGATAAAAGCAAGAAAAATAATTTATCTTTTTCTCTCTAAAAAATTGAACACTACGAAATTATGTATTACGATCGTTATACAATTCCATATAATATCTAATTTTCATCTAATCACTATTTATAGAGATATAATAGTTACAATCTTTGTATAATAATAATTTTACATTCAAATAAAAGTTCTAATTAAAATCCAAATAGGAGTTTTAATTAAAATCCAAATCCAATTAATTTATATTTAATTTCGTCTGTAGTCTTAGAACTTCATTTACAACTATATTTAATTTTACAACTTTCATAGTAATTACAATAAGTATAAAATTTTATTGTAATTACAATTAAGCTCAAAACTATTATAATTATAGTAATTAAGTTTTATACTTTATAGAGCTACCACATGGACCTGACTGAATATATATTATCCAAACTCTGATAATTAGATTATGTCTAGTCGATCCTAGACCATCGAGTCTAATTATTAGTCCTTATTTCTTTCATTAAAGGTAAAAGACTGAACTTATGAAATATATAAGATCACAGAGATCAATAAATTTATAATACTTTCCTCTGATCTGTTGTATATATATTTTATCACATTTCGAGATCCGATAATTTGGTACGAGCATAAATATGTTGAGATCCGATAACTTAAGTTTTATTTTCTTCAATGGTCATTTGAACTAATCACATATGTTGAAATTTAGTCGTCGCTAAATATTGAGCTCAAATTTTAACCGTTTAATAGAAAATACTTAAGTAATTACTCTACCCATTTTTCGGGATGACGGTTCTCTACACGAATTCATGTTCTCTATTTTGTTCATTCTCAAATTCCTAACTCATCGAAATATTTGACCAATCGAATTGATCTCAACCATTAATGAATCAAAGAACCATTAAAATCGCCAAAAGATATACATAGCCCTATTAAAAAATTTATATGAATTACATAGTGGTCAAGTGAAATTTAATTCTCCACACAATCATATTGTAGAATTAAAATTAACATGTGGTCCACTCAATACATTCCAAGTATACTAGTGTCACTTTTAACTATTTTTGTGACATTGACAAATAACAAACTTGAATATTGAATCGGTCAATATTACAACTTTCCAGTACAAAGTGCCAACCCTTGTATATTGGTGGTGAACAAATTAATTATGATCAAAATATAAATTACGTCACAGTGTACTTTTCAACGTAAGTACTCAACTTATATTATTCCAAGTGATCATGGACACTTTAATTCATATTCTCAATAGAAAATAAATGCAATAAATAAATAAAATTATAGTTTATTATTTTATCATAGTAAAATATACTATATGGACACACAGCCCAGCAAAAATTACAAATAATTCGTGAGGATTGTGTATGGAAATATGGTAAACGCACACAATACTGAATTTATAGGCGAGCATAAAATTAGTTTTGAATTGAAAGTCTATAAAATATTTGTATTAACTTGACATATTTGAGTAGTCTCCAGAAAAAAATGGAGCACAAAAGCTTGTGGGATTGAAACTCTCAAATTTGAACACTACCGCCAATGTTGAAGGAGAAGTTATTTTAACTTTTTTTGTACTTTTTATCCACACGTTCTCCTACAAATAACTATTCAAAACTCTTTTTTATATAATAATGATTGTCAAACAGGTTCTTATAAACAACTCACAAATATAGTACGAATTTGCTTTTTCAAGTGATTTTTATTGTTGTTCTTCTTAATTGGTTGGACTCATTACGTCTATAGTTCCCGCATCATCTTCTCCCCTAGTGTGTGTTAGATGCACAAGATCAGAGCCTCTCCAAATAGAAGAAGGGCTTGAAGTTGAGATCATACACGCTCTAATGCTCAAGTCAGTAAAAAAGACGGTACATATATATTTGAGTGAGGAATGAAACTTGGAAAAGAATAATTTTGGAGTCGGGTTTATATTTAAAGAGCGAGGACATAAAAACCATTGAATGATAACAAGTAGGAGTATTTATAGGTAAGAGAAATGAATGAAAGCTCTCTAAATGCTTGACATGTGACCTCATCCTAGGGCTCACTTATCAAGTTTTATCATGTCATAATGTCACGTCCTAGGCATCAAAGTAAACCTATGCTCAACCTCCATTGCAAGTCACACCACACTAATCACTTTTCACGTGACTTCGTAAGTCAGAATCATAGTTTATACAAGATTGAGATCGACCACTACCACTTTGGTCATGAAGACCTTCATTATGCCATTAAGCATTAAGACTCCAGAAATCACCTCAGAGAAGGAAAGTGACTATCCGCATCAAGTTATTTAGCCTCAGTAGCTATGTTGACTAGGCGTTTTGATGTTTTTCATCGCCGCGAAAGATAGGAAACACCTCAAATAGCACTTAGGTGACATTCTAGCTTAGTTGATGGTTATGTGACTTGCGATGTAGGAAGATACATGCATCCTAGGCTTCAAATAATGTTTGTACTCAATCGCCATTTTAAGTAACGACACTTCTCATGTGGCTCCATAAGCGAAAACCACAGTTTACACAAGGGATGAAGGTTGGCCCTACAACTTTTGTCGTGGAGACCTTTGTTATGCCATTAAGCATTGGGAATCTAGAAATCACCTATGAGAAGGAAGTGACGATCTTGTATCAACTTATTTAGCTCCAAAGGCTATGTCAACAAGGCATTTAGATGTTCTCAATGTCTCGAAAGATAGACTATCACCTCAAAGTGAACTTAGGTGGCATTCTAGTTGTCACATGACTTGCCATGTAGTAAGAGGCTAAATGGATTGGATATGGATCGGATTTGCTCATATCTGATTTGATCAGATCCGATAAGAATAATCCAATGGATATTTGATGGTTAAATCTATATTTAATTTACTTTGTTAACGAATATCCAATCCGAAATTGAAAAAAATAGGAAGGTAAAAATTTTATATTAGTTAACTTCTAAGCTCTAGAATTAAAAGGTCCAAATAACTTTTTACCCAAATTTTTTGTCAACCTATTTATAGATTGTAAATCTTGTGATATTCTAGTGAGTATCCGATATGAAAAGTTGGGAACAATGAAAGCAATTCCAAGTTGGCCCTTTTGATTGTTTAATTTATAAACTAAATTAATTATTCTTTTCTTATTTTAATTAATAGAAAATTAAAAACTCTCCAAACATTTCAATTAACAATATTATACTATTATTTAGTATTATTTATTATTTCAAAATTTTGTGTAGATTATAATACAAGTTTCAAATGAGAAAAAAAAAATTATGTGTAATAAATTATGCTATAATATATAAAATATATTATATTATTATAACAAATCAAATCGGGTTGTTATCGGATCGAATTCACCTATATTCACATTTGCTTCATTAGTTAATAGATTATTGAATTCAAAACTTGATCGAGTTATCAGACTGAGTTCTTAAATTCATCCTCCGTTAATTTCATCGGATTCAGATCAAAATTCAATCCAATCAATTGACTGTCCCATGTGTAATCCATAAATATTAGAATGGACAATGCTAAAGTCATGGAAAGAGACTCCCTCCACCCCCCACCAATGAAGAATAATGTGTGGAAGAGATTAGAGTTTCAGAAATTAAAGGGCAGATTTTATAGATTGTTGCCAATTTAAAGCCACTCGATCAAGTCTAATTATTGCTAAAGTTTTTAAGCACATGTCGCTGTCCAATAATCTCTACATAAAGCAACGAGAAAGCTGATCCTTATCTAAATGAAGGCCATTAGACATAATAGGCTTACTAGTTATAGAACAAAAGTAATCAATAAATAAAAAAGCTAAAATCTTATTCATCTATTAGAGTGTGTCTGAAAACAAAAATTCATGCCAATTCAAACACTCATGTGAACACATGTTAAGTGTAAAATTCACATCCGTTCATATGTGAAAATTCATTAAAAAAATGAAATACATATAAAGCTTGTGCTATTACTCTTAACATTGTCGTTTTAATATTGAACCCTAAGACCAAATAATAGTAATACATACATTGGATTCATGCTGCTTCTTCTTCTTCTTCCTTTTTTTTTTCATTTTTATCAAGATTCAGCGGAATACTACTATATGCAGTTAATACGTTCAAGATTTGTTTCACATCTGCAGATTAATTTCCAAATCCAGTAAACATGTGCTGATCAAAGTAGTAACTAGCAAGTCTGCAAATAAAAGAATCTATGAGATTTGGAAAAGTAGAACTCCATATATGAGCATTTCTCTTTATTGATTACTAAAGTGTCAGTGCCATTAACTTTTTTTCTGGCGAGATTTATTCTGATTCAGTTTGCAGCAAAAGAAAAAGACTTATAATTAATGCAGATACTGGGAGATAAGTAGCAAAATCTAAATTTAAATTACTTTGTCAAGATAGAGTTTTCTTGTTGCACGGAGCTAGTATGGTGAGGTCATCGCAGGGTTGGAAGGTGGGCAAGAAGCCGTCTTGAACCAAAATTTCATTAAGAATGATTTAAGAATTTTACACTTATAATTTCGATTTTGTACTTATTTGTCTTATAAACAAGAAGTTGTCATTAGGGTTTTGTATTATCATCAAAAAGAGATAAATGTTTGAGAAGATAGTGTGTATAATTTTCACTTATAAACTTCTTTGGCGAAAGATGACGTAGTCACACATTGGGCGGAAATTATAAATCTTAAGCCCTTGTTTGGTATTGATTAAAATTCGAATTTTAATTAAAGTTAAAGTCAATAATGAATTTTAACAACATAGTTAATGAGTTTCATGACTTTTCAACTGAACGTTTCATTGACTTTTATCAAAATCAACTAAAAATTTGATTTTAATTTCTATCAAATAGGGGCTAAGCATTCTTGAGTGTCCTTTTTTTTTCCTGCGAATTAATTGCTCTCGATAGAATAGAATTAATGCTAATAATTAATTCTCCACATGACTAGCTATTCAAATAGTTCCCATCTTAATCTTGGTTATATAGGGCATTTACACAGGCTGGCAATTGCAACTTTCAAGAATGTTTACTGTGGAGACTGGACAAATTAAAAGCGTACTGATATATGCTAGTAAGCAACTTTAACTTGGATGATCATAATGAAGAAATTCAGAAACTGAAGAAGTCAATTAATTACTCATTTGATGTGCTTGGATCTCTTACTAAATCGAGGACTTGATCTTTCACGAAATTAAGCAGAAACTAGAAATTAAATCAGCAGATAAAACATTGGATTAATTAACACTGCTGTACACAAACTTCTTTAGCATCTCCGATATCTTTGAAGCTTCATCTTCTGGTGCAGATGTCTCTTCAAGCTTAGAATCAAAGAAAGAAAGAAAAAAAGAAAAGGGTTAAGCTGTCAAAGAGAACTAAGCGTGTTCATTCAAATCTTATCTTCAGTAAAGAATTCATAAGCAATTTTAAGAATACCTTTGAATGTATTGTGTGGAAAATGGTATCATCTTGGATAGAAAAACTGGCATTGATGACCTCAGCACCTTCTTCATGAAACATTCGAATAATTTCACTGAACATGAATTGACAATCCAAACCAGTTATTAAAGCAACCTCCACAGCTGAACCCGATACATGAATCTCAACGTGTGGCAATTTCAGTTCCCCCATCGTTGAGCTACTGCAATTTCCCAAGCCAGTAAGGCGATCCTTCTTCTGATTCATTTTCTCCAAATCAATCTGCAGACTTTTTATGTAATTAGTAGCTTCTCCTAGCTGATCTGGTAGAGATACTACTTCCTGCAAAACCCAAATAAATTTAATTGCATTTTTTGTACATAATACTAGACTCACTAAGATTTTAACTTAATAAATAATATTATAAAACTTTTAAATGAGTCTTCGTGTATGCCGAAATGGAACCTAATTCGTGCATGTGATGTATCATGTATAAAAAGATACAGAAATGGAGTAAGAACCCTAGAATTTTGATGGGGCAGTAGAGAACTGAGCTGAGAATATAGAGACTTCATTTGATTTCTTCTGTTTTTCTCTATAGTCTTTCTGTCTGCTTTGGAACAACTAGGGTTTTGATCCATCAACAAATATACTTCTCAAACAGCTAACTCCTGAAAGAAGATAAAATATTTGAAGCTTTCATCAAATTGGGGGTCAAATGTGATTATAAAATACTGGGAATCAAGCATAATTATTCATGAAGATAAAAAAGTATAGTGATAGGACTTATGACGTATGAGAGATACGGTTGTTGAGGTCAGCTTTTCTTGTGGCAGTGGAACCTACAAGGACCATTTTTTGACCGCTAGATCTTGATCAAAATACTGTCCAGATTTCGGCTAACCAACCAAATCAAATTTGAGTAATTGACTTGACTCAATTATAAATTATTTTCTCAATTTGTCAATACATATTTGTGAAAGTAATTATAACTTGTTGAAAATTGATATCTGCAAAATTTAAGGCCAAACAGCATTTCAAGCATGCTTGGAACGCTTAAATTAGAATTTAAGCCTCCATTAGAAAAGACTTATAAAAGATTTGATTTATAAATAGATAAAAATAAATGATAGATAAGTGAATGCTACTCGTTGTCCCAAAACTTTAGAAGAGTGACTATGAATCTATTGGAATATGTGATTAAATCAATTACAAATTATCCAAATGGAAAGTGATTATAAATTATGTCTTATGGAATGTGTAGATAATGAGTAATATTGTTTGACCCCCTTTCATCCTAATAATCGATAATGCCATCCTTGTGCACAATAAGCCACATCTATGTTGACCACAAGGCAAGATCGAATAGTTAGTTTGATTGGTGTCTATGGATACCTCCTTTTAGGCTCGTACATATAAGCCATCTTGGATAGCTGGGGGGGAGGTGGGAGAGATCGATTCGATTTGAACGCTCATCTCGAAGAACTGATAAATAGTATATGCTAAATAGATGTAGAATATTGAAATGTTAACTTAATCATATGCATGTGTGCTTAGAAGTAACCTTAGATTAACTCAACTAAAATAATCACGTTTGGATAGTTTTATTACATCAAAACCCTAATATTTTGTCAATTATTAGCAATAGTTTTTACATTAAGCCAAACAAAATATAGGTTAGATATGTGTCTTATTCTGCATTGAACATATTTTAAATATTTGTTCTGTACCCAAATTGTTTGGAATTTTACACGTTTAGCAACTATTTATGGTACGTAAATCATGTGATCTACTTATCTTTTTCATAAGCTGTGCACCTTTCTAGTTGTTGCAATATCCAACGTACAAGTATTTCCTGATATCGATTCACAATAGATATTTTTTTATTCTTATTTTTTACATTAGGCCATGATCAAGATAGGATTAGATCACCAAAGAATCATCAAAATAACTTTTTCGGGGATGGATTTACAATTTAATGAGAAAAAAATCTAAAATCTAAAATCTTAACTATAAAATCCATAGTGGAATAGTTTATTTTTTAGTTCCGAAAATAAAACAAAAAAATCAAGTAAAAAAAAAAAAGAATTTAGATAGTCTTTCTTCTTTTTTTCTTTTTTTTTGCTTGAATATTTTATATTCAAATAACTATTTTCAAATCAAATAAATTATTATTTATCTAAAATTCGATGGAACAAAAAGAAGCCCTACTTAGATATTGATCACGTCAAACCGTCAGAATAAGAAAAGCCTTTCAAACAAAAATCACTACAAAGATGTCTTTTTCTTCTTTTTTATTTATAGGCTCATTTGAATTATATTCTAGGATTCGTAAGTTTTAGTAATTACGACTCAACTTCACTTAGGCCTTTATAAACTTAATATTGTAAATGATATTGATTTCCTATTTAAGCAAAAGATCATAGTTAAAAGAACTTTGTTGTACATATAGAAAATATGTACATACGGCTTGATAGAATGCGGCGTGGCATCCTTTGATTGAGCACTACCCAAAAAAAGCTTTTACAAGGTGATTCATTTTGTACAAGTAGCAAAATTCTGATTAAACTCAGCTCCTTTTACTGCATTAAAAACAGTGAACACAAAAAGCTTGTTATGTAGTACCCACATGTTATATCCCCTATTAATTATTGAGTTTGTGTAGTTGGGGGCCGGGCCCTTTGGTCACTAAAATATTTAGTGAAACCTGTGTCCTTTTCTTGTGTGAAAGCAAAGGGCTTTAAAGGATTTTCTGGATTCTGTTGTCACAATTAATTTCATCGTTTCAGACTTGCAAGTCTTGTGTTTAATTGAATTGCAAATGGAAAAAGTGTGACAAATGTGAACCAATTCAAATTAATTAATTGTTTCTGGCCTTCTACATAGGCCGATGTTTTCTAAGTTGTTATTCTCGAATAGTTTTATGGCATTTGAAATTTTTGATGTTGTCATAGCACATTTGAATAAAAGTGTTTAAGATAAGTTGTATGACATGTTGGGTAGACCAAGCATATGGAATAATAATCTATCTAGACCGGACAAAGTAAGATATTCTAATTGATCGAGATAGATCAATTACTCGGCCACCTAACCAATCGGTTGCACTTGCAACCCAAAAGAGATGCGGGCAATAGGCACTAACTAGGTTAACCGACCATGAAGGTAAGGATGGGAAAGGGCAGCTACAGGGTATTTTTGCCATCCCTCCATGAGAGAACTATTCTTTCGATAACATACCTCCATGGACTTTCAACGAGTCTTTCTAAGTTTATCAATAGACCAACAATATTATCTCATAGATACGGAAAGAAAAATAGGGAAATGATAAATTGGCACCACCCCTAAAAAAATATGTTCAACAATGGTGGATCTTATAACGTCATTAAGACCCCCAGCTCCTCAAAATTTCTCAAGGTGGCCAAGAAACACTGACAATTTGATTGATACTACGATTGGACACTATTAAATTGTATTAAATAAAGAATATAAGTTCATATAATGTTTCACACCCTACAGGCAAGAACATGGCACATTCTGCTGATCTATGATTGTCCATGTTTTTAGCTACATTTCGAATTGTCAAAACATATTTAATTAATAGCATTTTCTAAAGAACTTTCTATTTAATGAACCCTAACATTTGCCACCAGAATCAAGAAAAATGGTTGTTGATACTTCCTCTTTACTTCCGATAGGAACCAAAAGTTTCTCCATAATTAAAGAAATTCTCTTTCCTAGCAGGCGCATCAATTGTGGTATCAGAAACGAGCAATCCTGAGTAAAAGACAGTTGTCCATAAGTTATTTCAAAGGGTAATTAGCACAAAACGTCCATACCTTTCGATGTTTTTGTGGAAAACGTCCCTACCTTTCGTTTTTTGGCGGATTACACCTTCACCTTTACCTTTTTTTTGCGCAAAACGTCCTTCTGTCAAGTTCCCGTTAAAATGTTCCATTAAATCAATAGGTAATTAGCACAAAAGATCCCCTACCTTTCAATATTATTGTGCAAAACGTCCTTACCTTTCGTTTTTTGGCATAATTAGCACAAAAGGTCCCTACCTTTCAATGTTATTGTGAAAAACGTCCCTACCTTTTATTTTTTAGCATTTTCACCCCTACTTTTCACCTTTCATTGCAAAAAAGGTTCTTCTCATCCATTTTTTCAATAAAATGACGATTTTACTCTCCCATTCATATAAAACAAAAAGAAAAGATGAATTACCAACTGCAACCATAGTCCTTAAATTTTTAAAAAATTACAAAAAAATCATAAATTCTCAACCACTACCATTTTCACAACCTATCAAGCTGCCAACTATAAATCCACATACCACCTTTCGGCCACCATGCCCAACGGACTCCACCACCGTAAATGTGGTTGTTTCTGACAGATTATGACCAATACTATGGAGGAGGATATTGGGGAGAGTGAGGCGATGCTGGTGGTGGTGGAGTTCGATAGGTGTTGTGGTCGAAAAGTGGTGCTATATGGATCTATAGGTGGTGACTTGGTGGGGTTGTGAAAGTGGGGGTAGTGGAGAATTTAGGATTTATCTGTAATGTTTTGAAAGATTTAGAACTATGATTGCAATTAATTAATTATATTTTTCTTTTCCTTTTCTTTTATTTCAATAGGAGGGTAAAATCGTCATTTTATTGAAAAAATGGATGAAAATGACCTTTTGCGCAATAAAAGGTGAAATATAGGGGTAAAAATGCTAAAAATGAAAGGTAGGGACGTTTTGCACAATAATATTGAAAGGTAGGGACCTTTTCTGATAATTATGCTAAAAAATAAAAGGTAGAAACGTTTTGCACAATAACTTTGAAAGGTAGGGACCTTTTGTGCTAATTACCTTTTGATTTAACGGAGCATTTTAACGGAAAGTTGACAGAAGGACGTTTTGTGCAAAAAAAAGGTAAAGGTAAGGGTGTAATCCGTCAAAAAATGAAAGGTAGGGACGTTTTTCACAAAAACATCGAAAGGTAGGGATGTTTTGTGCTAATTACCCTTATTTCAAATATTACATATTACACATGATATATAAATTGAAATGAAATTATGAAATTAATAGAATGAATCGAGCTTACTCCTTTCATAGTGGGACAATATCCAAACAAAGTTGACACAGCATATTAAAAGAGAAAAAAAAAAAAAAAAAAGAGAAAAAAAAAGTTCGGACAAGACAAATAATATCCAAATTCTGACATGTTAAATTGTATCATTAAGGTAGGGCCAATCAGTGGGAAAGAGGCCACTCTTCATTTTAGGCGTTAATGACTGGTCACAAACTCAGGGCCCTAAGTTGATTATAAGATAAAAGATAATGTTATTTGTGTTGGGGATCTACTTATTCATGCACAGTGAAAAATTAAAAATTATTTTGATTCTTATCGAGGATCCCTTTGTATTTAGATAGAAATCGTAATAAAGATTGAACTTTTGACGAATTCTGCAAACCTTTTGCTTTTCTTTTCATTCCAGCAATCTTGATTCGTCAGCCACAACTGTCCAATTGTCCAGCCTCCAACGGTGATCCACACAGAGAATAAGATTACAGTTACCAAAGTTTTTTCTTTTGTGTCAGTAAGAATAATGAAAAATATATGAACCTCAAACCCTAGCCATGTATTTATATAAACCCAAACGGGTTCGATTCGGTCCAATATTTAATTAATTCATTTAATTAAACCCGGTCCGTGAATTAATTAATCCAATTGACAATTTGCAATC